GATTGCTTGGAATTGAAGAATCTAAAGATTCTTTCATGTTTTTACTACCTTATTTTTTTTATTTTTAAATAATGGCAATATTCTACTTAATTGATTTTTTTACTCTTCCAATTTATAGTTTTCTAGTGGATGGGATATTTTTCACTGTGTTCTAAAAAATATAAAAACATTTGAACACATCTGAGGCATTGAATATTTATTACAACTCTTAACAATTTGATTGGCTAAATTGTATACTGTATGGGTCAAAGTATGAAAATTGCTATAAAAGTTAATAGAGTTCATTTTTTAAATTAATTTAGCCTACTCATAATGTGTATGTGTCTGTCTGTCTGGTGTTAATATTTTCTATCTCAAACAATTATGCATGTACCTAAAAGAAAACTAGGTTATTTTTCAAAATTATATTAGTAGACTTGTTAAAGAAAAAAATGGTACTAGGTCTTTTAAACAAAGGGTAAAGTAAGAAAATGAAAATCTCATAATTTCAGGAGACAGTCTCCATTGATTTTCTTTTTAAGAAACAAGGAGTAATGTTTGTAAGTAGTTAGCAAAATGATGTGTAAAATGAAAAAACCTTCTCTCCCCAACCCATTCCCTTGTGGTAACTGTTGTTAACAGAGTCTTGTGCATCCTTTTTGGGGAAAAAGATTTTTATGTATATTCTAGCCCAATTTACCCCCTCTACACCTCTCTGTCTCTCTCGCGCTCTCTCTCTCTCTCTCTCTGTATGTATGTATGTATGTATTTTTTCTTTCTCAATATGACCAGGTCTGTGCCACTCATTTTTTTAATGGACTAACAGTGTTCCATTGCTTGGAAGAACTCTATTTCCATTTCTAGCTAATTAAATGGTGAACTTTTAAATTTCTCCCCAACTTTTTGCTGTGAACAACTTTATGGTGATGAACATTATACATCTTGTTGTTCTTTATTAGGCATATCAGTAGGATAAGTTCATTTTGGCAAAACGGTCTCCAGAGCAGGTAAACCAACTCATATTTTTACCAATAGTGTATGAGTGCACTTAAGACATTTTAATCCCCAAGGTAAAATCTTGACTTCTTACATTTTATAGTTTGAACTTTTTCTAAAAATAGATATTGTTACAAGTGAGTATCTATATAGGTTTAGTTTTATTTTCCCCATGTCCAGTTTAGTGTAATCATTACTGCAGTTTTCCTGGAGGATATTGTTAGAGATACCAGTTCCTAAGGAGACATAGATAATAGTCACATGACAAATGAAAGACTTGCAGTCACATTTAAACCTTTTTTGAACAGATGAAAACCATTTTAAAAAGAAAAAGAAAATAAGGGTAAGGAAAAAAAGGAAATGAAGAGAAATTTTTTTTACGTAGTTGTTTGCCTGGGAGGTATAAAGGAATCAGACTCTAGGCTTTAGTTCCACCTTTTTCACTTACCATGGAACCTTAATCAAGTCACTTTATCTCCCTGGGTTTGCTGATACATAAAATGAGGTAGGTGGGGAACGTATTATTGCCAGGTTTATGGTTATGATCATGTAACTATGCATTTGAAAAAATGTAGTACTATATAAATGTAAACTAGTTTTGCTGTTTTAAATAGGTAAATAAACAAATGCCCTCATTCCATACTGAAATACCCTGTATTAAACTCATATTTTGAAACATAATAATTTTATTTGTAGGTTGGGCAGAAGTAATGTTTACAGTATAAACTGTTTTCAAATGCTAGTATTTCAGAAGCTCCTCTTTTTGTTTATTTAATCAGTCATAGTTTATTTCATTTTAAATTAAATTCATTGGGGTGATATTGGTTAATGATCATCTTTTATTTAATTGGATATAATTACTTTAAAGAAACTAATGTTATTCCTACCCTCCTCAAACCAATACAATGGAATTTTATTTTGAATATAGAAGAATAAAATGTGTGTGTATAGGCAAACCATCCCTACTTTCCCTCCCCCTATCCTAATCTAGATATACCATCAGTCAAATCATGGTTTTTGAAACATTCCAGTATTTCTGATATAATATGATCATTAATGCTATCTTTCAACACTGTGTATTCTATTTTATGCCAGCTATATTCACAAATGCTACCAGTCCTTGAGATATTTGGTATTTTTATTTTACTTTATTTTATTATTAATCCTCACCTAAGGATAGTTTCCATTGATTTTTAGAGAGAGTGGAGGGGGAGAGACAGAAACATTGATGTGAGAGAGACACATTGATTGGTTGCCTCCCGCAAGAGAATAGAGCCTGCAACTAAGGTATATGCCCTTGACCAGAATCAAACCTGTGACCCTTCAGTTTGTGGGCCGACACAGTGTCCACTGAGCCAAACCAACTAGGGCGAATAACTTATTTTTAGTCAGAAAGCCTTTTTTATCAAACTGTTAGATGGAATAATTATTGGAGCGTTCAAAAACGACTGAATGCTCAAAGGACCATTTCTTTTAAGCTCCTAATTTGAAAGAAATACTGGTTTTTCTTCTTTATGCCATGCAAACTTGTTTCAAAAGTTTACTAAAAAGGAAAAACAGCATTGTAAGGCTATTATGTGGATAGTGTATCTGAGACCAGATGAAGATAGTCATGAACATTGTAGTCTTGGACAGAGGTTGTGCTTAAACTTGGGAAATAAAGTATAAATACATGAAATAAACCGATTAATTTTTGAAAATATTGATATGCTGTGCAATAATTTGTATGGTGGTTAAATTCATTTTCAGCCAGAAATGTGTAGCTTTGCCTGAAAGATGTTAAGCAGACGAGAAACCCTTTGGTTACACTAGAGGCCCAATGCACGAAATTCGTGCAAGGGGCTTGGCCCTTGTAGCTGTGGCAGCTGCCTCAGCCCCCGCAGCCCCAGCTTCATCCGAAAGGTTGTCCAGAAGGATGTCTGGTCTAATTAGCATATTATGCTTTTATTATTATAGATTATTGTGTTGTCTCACCCTACTCTTCAGCTTCCCATTGAGGAACTGAATGAAAAAGTGGCACTTGTGCCCAGCTGGTGTGCCTCATTGGTTGAGCATTGACCCATGAACCAGGAAGTCACAGGTTCAATTCCAGTCAGGGTACATGCTGGGGTTGCAGGCTTGATTGATTCCCCCGTAGGGGGCATGCAAGAGGCAGCTGATTGATGATTCTCTCTCATCGTTGATGTTTCTATCTCTCCCTCCCTCTACCTCTTTCTGAAATGAATTAAAAAATATTTTTTAAAAGTAGCACTTGTTTGATTGTTGTGGCAGAGTAACTTGAAAATATACATTACTAGTCTTTTTATCAGTCTTTTGTTAGAATAAAACAGTGCTATAGGCAAGAACATTCTCTTTTAAGAATTAAAAGAAGAAAATAGGACCTTTGAAAAAGTGTGCCTTAAGAGAATTAAGTCATCATGTGGAATTTGTAGTACGTATATACTTACTACAGTAGCATAATGTGGACAGTTTTCAAAATGGAGTTTTAACACCTTATAAAAATTTGTCTTAGATACCTAGCTTTTGAAGTATTGGGCACATTCCTCATTTCTATTTTGTTCTTGCCCTTCTGCACCATTACTTAGAAGAAAGAAGGAAAATACTAGAATATCCCCTAGCTCTTTCTAGTGCTTTTGGCCTTCCAGTGTCTCTTATTTCTGTTGGGCATAAAATAGATAGCTCTGAATGAATGGACAAAGTTTTAGTCATAAAGTTGGTCATTTGAAGCCTCTTTTGAGTTTCTTATTGAATTTATCTTATAGGAGTTTGTTTGTAAATGACTTGATTATAATTTAATTAAGATAAAATAGCCACAAACTCATGTGATGATATTAATAAAACAAGTTGCTAACAATTTTATCTTTAAGTTTTCCAGATGTATGTTGTTAAATTTATGAGAGGTGAAATGTTACAGTAGAAGGAGCATTATAATTTGGAGTCTTTGTGGTCTTCTATCAGATAACCTAACTTCTCTAGAGCATGAAAGGCTGCTTATTTTGTGATAATTTACAAGTATGTTGTTTGTGAGTGAAGTTAACCTAATGTACTGTTTGGTGCTTAAGTAACATTTTAATTTTTCCTTCTGCTTGCTTGCAATATAATTTTTAGTTAAAATGATGTCTTAAATTGTTTCCACCTCCATTCTCACACACATTTAAAAATATATATTTTTATCCCTAACTGGTTTGGCTCAGTGGATAGAGCATCGGCCTGAGGACTGAAGAGTCCCAGGTTCGATTCCAGTCAAGGGCATGTACCTTGGTTGCTGGCACATCCCCAGTAGGGGGTGTGCAGGAGGCAGCTGATCAATGTTTCTCTCTCATCGATGTTTCTAACTCTATCCCTCGCCCTTCCTCTCTGTAAAAAATCAATTAAATATATTAAGAAAAAAATATATACACACACACACACACACACACACACACACACACACATACCTACATATATATTTAGAGAGAGGAAAGGAGAGGAACATTGACCGGCTGCCTCCTGCATGCCTCTTACCGGGGATAGAGCCTACAACCAGTCATGTGCTTTGATGGGGACTCAGCTGGCAATCTTTTGGTGCAATGGATAACATCCAACCAACTGAGCCACGCTGGTCTAGGCTCACACACATGTTAAGCCAGAGATCAGCTTGATAGCAAACCTTGTGCATAGTTTTCCTGTATTGATAGGAGGGAATATTTCAGAAAATTTCAAAATCTAAATCATATCTTTTAAATTACATATGTTATGACACCCATATTTGCATTTAAAATTTGAACCAATTCCAAATTACTGTCTTTGTTTCTAGATTCAGGAATGTTTTCCAATTTTCCTATATGTTTAAATAAATATAATGTCAGAAAGGATTATACGGGAAGTTTTATTTTGTCCTAGACAACTCAGACATTAACAATTATGGTAGTTTTTGGTGTGTTACTAGTTGTAGTTGTTGAATAATTCCTGTTGTAACATTGGTAAGGATTACTACACAAAAATGCTAATTTTTCTTCTTTTTTCCTTCCCCCTCCCCCCCTTAGCCATCTGTTGAGTCTTCAAGTCCAGGTAAGTATTTTCTATACTTTTTATAATCTCTATTTGACTAATATTTATCCTATTCGTTGCATAAAGGCTAGAGGAGTTAGACTATCATCTGACTTGCTTTTCTTCTGAATGCTTCTTTTCTTTGGGGAAAAAGAAATGGATGAAATATTTGACTGCCCATGAAAGTACAGGTGAGGCTGCTGTGAGTTCAAACTCGTGACTGTTTATGGGTTCTCTCTCTCTCTCTCTCTCTCTCTCATGAATTTCCACATATATTTCTTAATAGTTTTTAATTGCTATTTGACTTGAAGTATAAATATATATTATGTGTACTTTTAAAAAAGGAATATGTGTACTTTTAAAAAAGGAATTACTAACAACTTAGAAATATTAGCTTATATAGGAAATTAAAAGTATTTTGAGAGAAAAATTGTTAAAACATTTAGTGAAGGAAGGAGAAATAAAATAAGAAAACAGTCAACAAATGAATATTTAATGTAAATTAAGGAAGTTTTTTTTATATTTGAATAGGATCAGTTTTTATCTTGTGAACACATATCTTTGGGTTTTTGTATTCTTTAAATACAATACAGATTCATTTTTTTCCTAACTTAGATGTTATGATCTTTGGACTAAATCTGGCCACAAATAAATGTGTTTTTATTTGGCCAGTGTAGTGATCTTTAAAAATTTGAATATTTTATATAAAAATCTGTATTTAGGCTTCTCTTAATCAGTTAGAGGTTCCAGCTCCATTGGGTACAGCATTTCTGTGTGGCAACAATTGGTTGGAACTGAATAGCAGTCAGCAAAGAGTTTGGTACCAACCAGTTTTTCTGACTAGTGTCCAGGGACTTTACCAAGAGTACTGCCTTCTGCAGTGAAGTACTTGGATTAAGGGACAGCGTAATGTAGCTAAAGAAGAGAGAGAAAGGGAGCACTCTAAGGCATTGTAATACTTCATTTGAAAACATCTCATGTTGAATATTTAGTTATGATGTATTACTAAAATTTTCAGATTATTGAAGCAATCACTACTCTGTGTGTTAAATTTTAGAAAGTAAATTTGTAAAAATGCTTAACATCATAATAGGCTTCTTTTTTTTTTAAATGGATCAAGGTTCTTTTCATGAACACATATCATTGTACTCCATGTAGTATAAGGCATCAAGTAGGGTGGTTGGACGAGAATACCTCCAGATTCCTTCTAAAAGACAAGTGTGTGTTAAATTGACAGTTGATTTTATCATATTTATTTCAACTTCATGGTTTATAAATATGTTCTGGATAGTTAAGGTTGGAAGTAGTCTGACCTCAGATAAATACTAGATTATCATATCCTTTATAGGACATAGAATTTTTCCTAATTTCTTTTTCTTGCAAACAGAATCATTTTCATTGAAAAAAAAAAAGGTTCTAGTTGGTTTTTGTTAATGTTGTGATATTGCAAATAAACTGAGTTTTATATATTTTTCCATGAAATTTTGAGACATTCATCAGGTAATACATAGGTATAAAAATAATTTCTCCAAAAATGATACTAATGAATGACTTGAGTTTCCATTGCATTTGAATCAGTCTAGGCTGCATTGGAAGAATAGTAGAGCTTGGAAAATATAAATGTCTTTGATGCCCCTTACTGCCTGCTGAATGCTTATACAAACAGATTGAATCTTTAGTGTTTTTTGTTTTTAAATTGGTTTTAGACTAAGAAGATCTTTTAAGATAGATAGTGTTTCTGATATCAGGCTTCTGCCCAAGAGAATATTTATTGTTTTTGTAAGTAATACTAATTATGTAAGTTGGAAGAAATTAGAAATAGAGGCTTCATGTAAAAAAATATTTGGTCCACTGGTGAAAGGCTGTGTCCTTTGTAACATCTGCACTTCGGAATTCATTATAGTAATAATGGTCACATGGCCCAGGTTAGGTGGTTTGTCTATAGACGCTACCAGTATAAACCAATGTGGAGGTATAAGACAAGGTTTTACCTATAAGACTAGTAGCCATTAGAGGTAGGGATTTAGGGAGGGGAGGAAATAAAATAATGTAATGAGTGCACATCCTATATAATAAAAGAGTAATAGGCAAATCGACCGAAAGACGGAATGACCAGTTGGCAGGGGGTGGGACCGGCGAGCAGATGGCGCCAGGCCAGCCAAGGCTCATGCCAGCGGCAGAGGGAGGGGACAGCGATTGGGGGGGCGGGGATGGTGGCGACCAGCCTCAGCAGAGGGGCAATGGCGGGGGGGGGAAATGCCTCCCGCAGAAGCCACTGGCAGGGCCACTCGCTGCCTGTGCCATCCCCTGATTGGCCTTGCCAGTCGCCTCCTGCAGAGGGAGGCCAGACTGCGGCTCAGTCGGACATTCCTGAGGGCTCCCGGACTATTAGAGGGCACAGGCTAGGTTGAGGGACTGCCCCCCGCCCCACCACCACTGAGTGCACGAATATTTGTGCACTGGCCTCTAGTGATATAGTATAAGCAGAATTTATCTTTTGAATGGTTGAAATAATGTGGGATACCTTTTAGTAATTTTGCAATAGGATACAAAAAGTGCTGATATTGGCTTAATTCTAAAACATAATATTTATTTTCACAGTGCATCAGACTCCCTACCCATAATAATTTATTTTTAAGATCTTTTTTTCCCCCTAGGAGACAGCCTAACAATGGGCCTTAGTAATTAACAAAAAGGAATAGGGTGATTATTTGGTCCCAAAGAACAAGGTAAAAAGAAGTCATAAAATAAAGAAGTCATATGAAGGCAAGAAAAAATTGGAAGTTTATAAAAAACAGTTACAGTGTATATGTAGGGAAAAGAATTAGAGTGAGAAGAGAGAAAAGGTTCACCTAAGGTATTTCTTGTAGGGAGGGGGAAGTGACAAAACTTTAAATGTAATTGGCCTTGAATATAATGACAAAAAAGTGAGGGGCTTCAGGTAAATCATATGATACTCATGTGAGCTTGATTTTTTTCTGTTGTTGTTGGTAAAGGAAGGTAAGTAGTCAGGAATTAAACATAGTTATTTTGACAATATTTGCATCTAATAGGAATTATATTATGACTAGAGGCCCAGTGCACGAAATTCGTGCATTCAGGCGGGGCGGGGGGGAATCCTTCAACCCAGATTGCGAGAGGGCACAAGCCAGGCCGAGGGACCCCACCGGTGCACGATCGGGACCACGATCGGGACCGGGAAGGGACGCAGGAGGTTGGCCAGCTAGGGAGGGACTGTGGGAGGGCTCCAGGTCATGTCCGGCCCATCTCTCTTAGTCCGATTTGCTGGACCCGAGCAGCAAGCTAACCTATTAGTGGTAGCATCCGCCCCCTGGTGGTCAGTGCACGTCATAGCAAGTGGTTGAGTGGCCTTAGCATATCATTAGCATATTATGCTTTGATTGGTTGAATGGACAACCGGACACTTAGCATATTAGGCTTTTATTATATAGGATTAGTATAATAGTATACAAAAGGGTTGTATGAAGGTTTTTTAATTGTCTTTCTGCATATAAGAGAGAAGAAAAGTATAGTATCATTTGTAGGAATACATAATTGTTAACTAAGTCTCCTAGGAGATTGATTGCTAGGTGAACTGAAAAGTTTTGGGAGCATTTTCCATTAAAAATTCAGAAAGAAGAGATAATGATTGAAACAGCAAAAACTACAACTAAATTAGTGGTTCTTAAACTGTGCAAGTCCCTCAACCAGTACTAAAATGCCCTAATTATGCCATGTTTTTCTTAATTTTTCAAAAGAAGTTATGATAATATGCTTTTCTAAATGTTTTATTTTGTAAATCATTCTAAAACTTTGATAATTTATTAACTCTTCTGTGCTGTACTATAGGATGAGACCTGATTTAGCAATTACATATCTAGTTATTTTATGTTTAATATCAGTATTTTATTATGTTCCTCAGAGTGTACCATGACTTCTAAGTATTTTGCTTTCTAACCTGGCTTGCTGTTCACTCATTATAGTCAACAGAGGCTCTTTTCAAGTATTCTCTGAGGCAGGATACCTACTGTTTCTGAGGCTGTGCCTTACCGGAGGCTTGGAGTGCAGTAAAAGCACAGGCTTTGGAATTAGCAGGCCCAGGATTCAAATTCCATCCTTGCCACATACTGGTTCTAAGAGTTTAAACAAGCTACTTAACTCTGAACCTCAGGTTTTTCTTTTTGTTCTTCATAGGATTGTTTGCTTAAATGAAATGATGTATATGAAGTGCTTGAGCATAGTATTTGGTACATAGTAAGCACTCCAAAAATATTTCTTATTCTAAAAAGTGTGGGAGGTGACAAGAACCCGGAGCCTTCTGTATTTCCTTATCCCTAATAGCAGGGGTCCTCAAACTACGGCCCGCGGGCCACATGCAAATACAAATATTGTATTTGTTCCCATTTTGTTTTTTTTACTTCAAAATAAGATATGTGCAGTGTGCATAGGAATTTGTTCATAGTTTTTCTTTAAACTATAGTCCGGCCCTCCAACGGTCTGAGGGACAGTGAACTGGCCCCCTGTTTAAAAAGTTTGAGGACCCCTGCAATAGTCTGTATTTAAACAAATCAGCATCTGTATCACTTTGTTTTACTTATTGGTTCTTTTACTGGAGTAAAAAGGAGGAGTAGGTGCATCTGCTAATACAACTTTTAACAGTTTAAACTTAAATTGATTATTTTAATGTTAAATAACTCATTTGTTCATTAGTAAACAATGCTTTTGCAAACTTAAGTCCATGTTTAACAATAGCCAAATGGGATAGTTTACAGAATATGTATGCCCTAGCATTTGCAATTCAGTATTATAAGGCTTGACCTATTGAGTACAGCAGTGTTCTCCAACCACCAGGCTAAAAATAGATTAGCTTACACATCAGTTACCTACTAGCTAGGCTATTTTTAATGCCTTTCATAAGAGTTTTGTATGCAATTTTAGTACATTTTGCTTCTATAGTTTATCTTTGAGTTATTTCATATAAAAATCATCCAAGTAAGTTAAGGGCAATTATCTATATACTGGAATAAATTTTCATGAAAGTGCTAATAGAAGAGTAATATTTGAGTGCAGCTTTGTTTTCATTAGATTATATGTTAAGATGACTATATATTTCACATGAATATATACTCTCAGGGGCCATAAGGGTTCATACTCATCGAGTCTATTAAATATTGATCAAATGATTAAGAATTGTGATTCTTATTTTGTAGTTGTACCTGTGTATAGAGATGAGAAAGGCAAAAAATAATCCCTTAGAGGAGGTTTGCGGGGAGATATGAGTAATGGCAAGAATTTCAGAAAACAATAAATAATATTTTCTGTGCATAGCTTTTCTTTGGTACTGTTATTTGATTTATATCAGCTTCCGATGTCATATACATTATATTAATATTAATGAGGTACACTTAATTTGATTTACCAAACTTTTAAAAATATTCTTTACCAGGAGGTTCAGCAACATCAGATGACCATGAATTTGATCCATCAGCTGACATGCTGGTTCATGATTTTGATGATGAACGAACATTAGAAGAAGAAGAAATGATGGAAGGAGAAACAAACTTCAGTTCTGAAATAGAGGATCTTGCAAGGGTAAATAACAATAAGAATTAGAGGATGAAGTGTTTATAACTTTTTTTGTGGAGAGAGGAAACACTTGAAATTTTGGTTCTCTGCCTGTGTTTGGGGAGAAAAAGGATGTTGATAGAGTTGACTGAAAAATTCTATGTGATCATAGGTGGTATGTATAAAGTTTGAAATGAAAGGCCTTTTTTTAAAGAAGTAACTTCATTATGTAAAATAGAATTCAAGTAGTTAACTTTTATAAAACATCACAGGTATCGGGTCAAAAATGGACTATAAAAGGATCCTAAATATCTTCTTACACACCTTCTGTCCTCTCCCAATTACTGTACCTTTTATTTTTACCCACCTTCACAGCCAGAATTTAAGAGTGATTATCATCTTCCTTATTTCCCAGACAACAATAAATGATTCTTACATGATACTTGCTAAATCTTTAAGTACTTCAGTTAGCACATAGTAGGAACACTTATTTGAATTTAAAAGAGCTGCAGCAGAATTGATTTTGTTTTTTGTAGTTTTAGCCCAATGTTGGCTACAAGATTTTCACTTTATACCTTAGATCAGCGGTTCTCAACCTGTGGGTCACGACCCCTTTGGGGGTCGAACGACCCTTTCACAGGGGTCGGCTAAGACCATCGGAAAACATATATAATTACATATTGTTTTTGTGATTAATCACTATACTTTAATTATGTTCAATTTGTAACAATGAAATTGGGGGTCACCACAACATGAGGAACTGTATTAAAGGGTCGCGGCATTAGGAAGGTTGAGAACCACTGCCTTAGATCAAGTAAGTTAACTTTTCATACCACTGTCAAACTCTAAATGTTGTATTCCACAGTGGGTCATGACTATTGCTTACTAATTTATTGCTGCTGACTGTTGCTTACTAAATTGATATTGAGTGACAGAAGTTAAGATAAAAGTTAATATCTAAACAGAAGCATAATATCACTATATAGTTTGTTTTTAAATATATGTATTTTTAAATTGATTCAGAGAGAGGAAGAGAGAGGAAAAGAAGGATAAAAACATCAATGATGAGAGAGAATCGTTGATCGGCTGCCTCCTGCTGGGTATCGAAACAAGACATTGTGGTTCATGGGTGGATGCTCAACCACTGAGCCACACCAGCCGGACTATAGTTTGTTTTATATTAAGTAAGCATTTTCTTGATGGAATAAGCAAGGATTATTTTGTTTACACATGATAGAACCCACCTAAAACTAACTTTAAGAATACATTTTAGATGTATATTAGAACTTTTTTAGAACTTTATTTTTTTTATTTTTTAGAAGTCATATGAATGAGTATCTGAGTCCAAGGAATGTCTAGAACCAGAGATTCAGTGTCACTAGGACCCCTCAATCACTCTTAATCCATGGTTAAACCTGTTGGTTTCTTCTGCAAGATCTCTTGAGTTTTTTCTTTACCATAACCGTTCATTTAGTTTAGGTTCTAATTATACTACATGTGATTTACAGCAGTGAATTCCAACTTAGCTTAGTCTTCCTGGCAAACGAAATCTCTCCCTGCCTAAGTCCATCTTGAACATTTGGTTGTATTTTCCCTAAGCCCTAACATTGTGTCAGTCACTGTTCAACACCTACTTTCAAACCAAGTCAAAAGTAGAATATGACAGATTTTTTTAGAAACAAAGTAAGACTAGAGAAAATAGTTTAAAATACCAGCCCTAACTTTCTTTTTGTTATTATAGATACCCTCTGCTCTTATACAGTAACCTACTTACCATTTTTTTTCTATACTTGTGTAGTTTTTTCTGAATTGATTGACTTTCTCTCCATTTCTATTACTGTTTTTTTCAAATTAAAGTGGTTCTCCAAATGCACTGTGATGAGCTACTTTTGACTCTCCTCAGTTCTCTGCCTAGTCAATATTGGAGGTGTTGGTAAATTTTTCTTTGAGAAAGAAATTTTTATAAAGTAAGTCATACTTCTCAAATATGTATCCAAGAAGGAAAAATCTAACCTAACGATGGATGTCAGACATAAAGATTTCTTTCCATGAAGTTAGTATGACACCTGTTTTTTTGACACATAACTGAGCTAGATGACAGATATCAGTGATAAGCCTTATTAAAGATAATGATCAATCTTTATTACCTTCCACTGGAAAGGCTGATGTGCAGGTAATTTTATCTTAGAACTAGGAGCTAATTGGTTCTTAAGCTGATCTCATACCAGCAGCATCAGTATCACCTGGAACTTATTTTAAAAAATGCAGATACTCACACCCTACCTCAACTTAACTAGATCAGAAACTATAGGGTGGGACTCAATAGTCTGTTTTAATAAGCTCTCAAGGTGATTCTGTTGTCCTTGAATAAGACAGAACAAATGGTCGAGAGCCCTAGGACATTTATTTAGTAATCTGCCTGTTTTGTGTTATTTCTCAAGGTATCAGTTAACTCAGTTGTAAAAAAGTAGAGGTAATACTAACATATATTAGGATAATTTTAAAGATGAAATGAACATGAAACTTAAAGTGTTTCTCCTGGTTTGGCCCTTACTCTTACTAGTGACTTCAGGGCCTCTTGTTCATAATAGTGACGTCAGTTGTTAAACCTGCTTCTAATTTGTGGTGCAGAATGAGTTTATGCAAAGTATGAGCTGGGATTAGGATGTGTAGTTATTGTAGTAAAGTCTCTTGTCAGTGCATGATGTTTCCTTCTATTTGGTTTTCTGAATATTTATAAATAAGAGTAACAAACATTCCCATCTGGTACTTTTAAAGATCTAATAAGATTGTAATATTCTCACTGTGCTTTTATTTCTCTCTCTGAAATGCCTGGCATATAGAAGATACTTTATGGCAGCTATTTGTTATTATCCTATCTAATAAAGAGGGAATATGCAAATTGACCGCCACATCACCACGAAGACAGCGGCCCCCATAGCCACAAGTTGGGGGTGCTCAGCCCTGCCGGGAGGATGGCAGGCACAGGTCCGGCCACTCCTTGTGCCTGCTGCTGGCGTCCCACAGATCTTTTAGCCCACCCAGGGGGGCGGAAGGCGCATGATGTGGCCAGACCTGCCCTCTGCCCCCCAGTCGCCCAGGGCCAGCCCAAGGTGCAGGCAAGCCTCAGATGGCGGCTGCCCAGCTGACGCCCGACGTACAGGCAAGCCTCGGATGGCAGCTGCCTAGCCAGTGTCTGAGGTGCAGGCATGCCTTGAATATTGGCTGCCCAGCCACCTAGGGCTGGCCTGAGGCGCAGGCAAGCCTTGGATGTTGGCTGCCCAGCTGTCCAGGGTGGGCCCAAGGCACAAGCAAGCCTTGGATGTCAGCCGCCCAGGGCCGCCCAAGGCTCAGGTAACCAGGGCTGACCAAGGCTTGCACTGCCGGCAGTGGCAGCAGCAGAGGTGTGATGGGGGTGTCGCCTTGCCCTGATTACCGGCTCGCCTCCTGCCCCTGAGGGCTCCCGAACTGTGAGAGGGGGCAGGCCGGGCTGAGGGACACCCCCCTCCAGTGCATGAATTTTCATGCACCAGGCCTCTAGTCCTATATAATGAAAGGCTAATATGCAAATAGACTGAACGGCAGAACAACCAGTCTCTGACGCGCACTGACCACCTGAGGGCAGACGCTCAATGCAGGAGCTGCCCTCTGGTGGTCAGTGCGCTCCCACAGGGGGAGCGCCACTCAGCCAGAAGCCACTCTCACAGCTGGCGAGTGCAGCAGCGGTGGTGGGAGCCTCCCCTGCCTCCGTGGCAGTCAGACATCCCCCAAGGGCTCCCGTACTGTGAGAGGGCGCAGGCTGGGCTGAGGGACCCTCCCACCCCCTGAGTGCACGAATTTTGTGCACCAGGCCTCTAGTTGTGTAAAAAAACAGTATTTTCTTTCTCTTTCTCTTACTCTAGTTTTTTCTTGATTTTGAAGTTCTGTTTTACTTCTCAAATCCTGACTAATTCCCAAATTTCTGTCTCGTACATGGACCAGATATCGGCATGGACTAGATCCTTGAACAACTTAAACACTGTGCTACTGCACTTTGAGAATCACAATACGAGATGTCAGTTAACTATGCCACCTGGTCTATCAGCTAGGGTGGTAATACCTTGCCTGACATAGTTAACATTTTTCAAGCTGTGGCTACAGCAGGCCATTAGGGATTTCACTTTCAGAAACAGATTCACAAACTGACTTATAATTAGAACATCCATTTATGATATGAAGTAGAAGTTAACATTTTCTTCTTATTTCTGTAAGAAAACTTTTAAAAATTATAATCATTAGTCGTTTCTTTTTTTTTTTTCTTTTTTCTTTTTTTTTTAAAGCCTACAGCACCCGGTATTCCCAGGCGGTCTCCCATCCAAGTACTAACCAGGCCCGACCCTGCTTAGCTTCCGAGATCAGACAAGATCGGGCACGTTCAGGGTGGTATGGCCATAGACTCATTAGTCATTTCTTGCACACGAATTCTGGGTGTGATGGGAGTTAATTGTATGATATAAGTGATTTGCGTCATTGGATTTATATCATCCAGTTCAATGTACCCTTCTCTACCACAACAATGTATTTAACATATAGGCTAGACTTATTTCTGCCTATGAATAAGACTACAAGACTGCTGGAGAAATATAGAACACTAGAGGCCCATCAGCCTGGCCTTCAGGGATCAGGCCAAAACCAGCCCGGTGCATGGATTAGTCCAGGTTGTGTCCGGCCTGTCTGGCCCAGTCCTGATCGGGGCCAGGAAGGGACCGTGGGAGAACTCCAGGATTTTTCCAGCCCATCTTGCCCAGTCCCCATCGGCCAGACCCTAGCAGCAAGCTAACCTACCAGTTGGAGCATCTGCCCCCTGGTGGTCAGTGTGCATCATAGTGACTGGTCGAATAGTCGGACACTGCATATTAGGCTTTTATTATATAGGATGTCTTATTTCATGATACTCTTTTTAAACTGACTCTTTCTATTAAGGGGTGTGTGTGTGTGTGTAATATGTTCACATGAATGGGTTAAATTTTCCTTTTTTAATCAGAATTCTGTCATGTTTCCCTGATACTTGATTTTGTAGTCATATTGATTACTGATAAGAGTACCTTCTGCAGGAAGCTAATTTCATTTCACTAACATGGATATTTTTTTATTTCACCCTCAGGATATGTTTTTGTGGGGTTTGGGGGAAGTCCCTGGCTGAGAGTATGGACTTTTGGAATTAGACTTGAGATCTGGCCACATAAGTTATTATTTACTAGAAGCCCAGAGCACAAAAATTGGTGCACTCGGGGGGCGGTGGGGAGAGGGGGCCCCTCAGCCCATCCTGTGCCCTCTCGCAGTCTGGGACCCCTCAGGAGATAATGACCTGCTGGCTTAGGCCTGCTCCCGGGTGGC